AGGCTTCACTTAAACCTATTCTAAGCTATGAAGCATGTAGCTGGTCAATTCACCTACTTGAATGTTTTCTTTTAACTTCATTATTATTCCTGGTGCCCCATGATCTTTGATCATTTATCTGGACTGGAGATGCTCTTCTGCTCAGAGACCTGCTTTGATGTAACCACACAGCAAAACATGCAGCTCCTCTTTAGAGTCAAGATACTTCAGAGTCAAGAGTTCAAGGGAAATGCATGTTTAGAAGGCAACAAGAGGTGAGAATAGGCATAATTTTAAAGTAGAACCTTTTAACTAAAAGCTTGTTGCTTGCTTCATGTATAATTGAAAAAAGTCCAGATTCTCCTAAATATTTGAAGATACTAATGGGTTTAAGTGAATCTGAATGCAAGGAAGTCAGCATAAAGCATTTTATGCTTCACTTCTCCATCTGATTTAGTTACTTGCCATGTTAGATTGCAACAGGTTCATGTCTGTAGCTTATGGTTTTTCTTGCATTGCAGCTGTGTTGCATATCCTCCATCATGCAGAAAGGCTTTGCAGTTCTCTGAAGGAGAATCTCCTTCATATAAAAGCCTGAAAATTATTTACCTAATGGAGCTTCAACTGTATCACTGTAACGAAGTCTAATATACAGCTCTATGGTCATGCTCATTCCAGCAACTGCCTCCATTTTAGCTTTCTCAGAGCATGTCTACACATCCTAGCCCAGACTATGCTGCACCTGCTCCATCCATGTGCTGTACTGCCCAGCTGCGAGCAATTCTTGGCAGGGAGTCAAGTGTCTGCGTTAGGCTTGGTGCGATGCTAAGCCGTAAGTCTTGAGCGGAGTTGCATAAATTAATACAACTCTCCTCTGCTGTTTATTGCGATCATCTTGCACATCAGGCCGTTCTTGAGAGATGGGGCTTATTTGCTCAGTGCTGGGCTTACTCACTCTATAGTGAGTGAAACCCTGTGGTTTCTGGACCAGAGTTGATATGCAGATAGCGAGGCACTCAGGCAGGTCAGAGCATACCTGTGCACACCTGACTGCAAAGTGTCTCCTAAGCATCTCTTTTTCTTTATTCTCTCAGTCATGGAGAGGGCAAAGATCCGTATAGATACTCCTTACATGGCTTGGAGAAAAGCAGACATTACTTTGTCTGGTCAGTCTTCTCTGCACTTGTGCTAACAGGTATAGGATCAGATTCATAAGCCCTGATTGACAGATGCAGGTTAATTTTTTTATGCATATATAAAGTTCCACATTCATAAATGGTTGGCTCTGAATGTGTGTAAGCTCCACCTCAGGACTGTACTGATACGGCAGTGCTCTTCCTGGGCTACAACTGGCTTGTACCTAGGTAGCCAAGAGTGCTACTTAGGTGGAGGAAATTTGTGACCGTTTCTACCTGAGCACGTAGATATGCTGATACGGGGATAGGTTTCTGAAAGTGAGACACAGCAGTGTTAGCTCTTTCCTCCCTCCCCCTTCTTATTTGGCTGCTTCTCACCACTTAATAATTATTTTGAGAGGGGTGGACTAAAAAGGCAAAAGGACTTTAAGGACTTTCTTTTAGAAACAATATGAGCAACAAAAATTGGAGAGAACAGACTTACTAATCAGAAAATCTTACTTCCATAGATAAAACTTACTAAGAATTTTTCGTAACTTTTAGTTAGGGGAAAAGAGCTTTCAGACAATTTCCAGTTGTAGTACTGATATAGGTAATAGGTTTTATTCTGAATATTAGACACTCATATTTAAACCATTTATTCTTTTATGCTTAGGTATGCTTTTGGTGTGCGGTATATCAATTTTAATGTCCACATATATCTGACATGGAAAGAGTCTTACAAACTGCGTGGCAGTAAAACAGTATGCCTATCTTTGACCTCTAATGATGACAGTGATTCAGACCCAGTCTGGGGAGCTACGGTTTGTAAATAGCTCACAAGCAAAGGTATGGACTTCCAGAAGGCGTTCAGAGCTCCTAAGCTGGATGTGTAACTTTTAGGTAGTGAAGCTCTTTCCATATCAGATCCATCTTTATGGAGCAGCAGGAGGTAAAGAAAGGCTGAGTCGCACAAGTCTGTCTGTAGAGATCTGCAGGCTTACAATAGATAATGATTTGCAGAATTCAGAACTGCAGAGCATTTGCAAGTATAATATCTATGAATGTATTATTCTGATCTTGCAAAACAAATGTATCTAAAAAACACTATTTAAATCAATGTATTTAGTTTTAAGCATGGTGAATAGGCCTATTTCTGATCTTACATTTCAGTCTTTATAGGCAAGATGTCTTTGCTAAGTGTCATTAAAAATGCAGGGATTAGCAACAAGACTCCAAAGTAACTGATAAATGGGATAGGTGTCTGGAATGCAGTGAAAAGGAGAAGTTCAGCAGCAACTGAAAGCTGAATTTTCCTGTCAGTGAGACTAAAGCAAGAGGTGCACGAAGCTTTTCAACTGTAATATGGTAAATATGTCATATGCTTTGAGAAAGATTCCTTGCTGTTTGTAAACAATCTTTCAAAGAAAAATCTACATTCAACTACACAAGCAGTTCCAGAGATATGTCATAATGCTACTTTTTTCTTTTGGTGAGCTCATATGCTGAACACGGCGAAGGAGCTTAAGTTTTGGAAATAAAAAATCAGTACTGAAATTTGTCATACCACAAAACTCAAACAAGGAAAGATTAAAAGGAGTTTTTTATCAGGAGTAAGAAAATCAAACCCACACTGCTTTGTGCTCTCTTGAATATAAGTTTACATCTGTCTTTTCTTGGACTGGATTCATATGCAGTGCTTAAGTGCTTTTCAAAACCAGGTATTAGAAGAAAAGAATCATCAGTACCAAAAATGCAGATAAAATATTTGTAGTAAGATTTAGAGTAAATTAAGAAATTGAACTGCAGTATTCCATGGTGTCATCATTTGTTGTTTGCTTTAAAAACAAAGACAGGAATCCAAAAGAATTTGGCAGATTATTACAGAACCCTACTGATGGGGATAGTCCTGGTACATCTCACAGCCCTGCTTGCATAAAGCTGCTGCAAGAATTTAGTAGGTTCAGGCTCCTGAGTCCTACTGTGTAAAAGAAATGGAGAGGTCAAAGATGACAGTTGCTCTTTCACATCAGAATAAAGCAGCTCAATACTTACAGCTAGATCTTAAATCAAACTTAACTCTGACAGATTGGCAAGAATTTTCAATGTGGAGCTACAGTTCTTTAAAAACCCTGTTGTACAATCCAGAGGAGAAAAAAAAAGTGTCTTACAAATATAAAAAAGATGTTGTATTCAAGCTGACAGGACAAGAAGGAATGTATTCAAGCTACAGCAAGTGTATTTCACATTCAATGACAGGAAAAATATTCTAAATTAAACACAAAAAATGGCAGAATGAACAAAGAAAAATCTTCAAAAAAAGAATTTTGAAACTTGACTATTAAATTCCAATAATATTAATCGCTACTTCTAATCCTGCCAACAGTGTAAAGTGGGTGGCCTCATGACCACTCAAAATCTCGTCTAGTTTAGGACTGGGCTAGCACAGTATTAGCACTATAGAGTATCCATCTTTTCGTTTGGAAATGAACATCATAAAAACAAAAGCAGAACTGCAAATACTGTGCATACTGCTTATTATTTCCAGCCACAAAATACCACAGTCTGTAAACAAGGCACTCCAAAGGCATGCAACTCTCCTGCTTATCTAGGGGGAGAAAAATACTGCGAAGTCACCATTCTTCTCAAGGACATAAAAAGTGCTGGAGAAACCCTTGACCTTTTCATAAACAAGCAATGCCTTTGGATGTAACTTATACTTATCAGTTATGTATTTTGTACCTCCAAAAAAGGGAGACCCTTTATTTTAAATAGGCAAGTGTCTGCTGTTTTTCAAATTATGTGTTTGGTTTTTGAGGAATTTTGGATGCTGGGGAGAACAGCTCTTTTGTCTTGTCCAGCACGGCTCTGCCCTGACTTTCTGCATTACTATCTTCCCTCCCTGCCGCTACTGACCAGAACTCACGATGTCTCATGGAGCAATCGGCATTTCCTTCAACGTGCATGTTAGTTACTTCTAGGCAGACATAGTATTCCTTGGAAACAGCCAGCTGTGCCTACTTATTATACTTGGCTATAGTGTCACCCTTGTCTGTAAATTGCGGGGGGAGATGACTAGTATATTTCATAAACAGCAAGTACTATAAAATATTTCATAAAGTAAAATAGTTTCCTTATTATTATGTTTTTTTTAAGAAAGCAGGAGGCCTTATTATTTGTGCATGAAGGTAAAGTACCACAGATACTTCACTGCCGTAACTCCAGTCTACAGCAGGTTTTTTTACAACAGTTTTTGGAAATATTGCTAAAAGTGTGTTGCTAAGCTTGACTGCAGAGCAGAAACCATGGGGATTACCCGAACGTAATGTATACAGAACACTGTGCTGCCATCACGCAATTGTGTATACTGTAACTCTGTGTGTCAGTCATTCACTCCAGAAACATTAAACACAAAAAAAGGGAGTGTAGAAAGTGGCAACCTAACACTTTCAAAACCCAAACAGCATTAATGGGAGACTTCCAGCTTGAAAGTGATGCTTCTGTCTGGACATACTTACCTGGCATAATTATGAGACTCTGAATAAATGAACAGGACTTTACCTGTGCTTTTTGCATGCCAGTAGCTTTACAAATAGTCAGTTTAAAAGATCTTTGCCATGGGCATTGCATAAATAATTTTATATACATAAGTATATATGTATATATATTATCTATGTGTGTGTGTACAAATGCATGTTAAACAAAAGCCCTAGGAAGATTTTAAAAACCCATAGCGTACTTCATAACTTATTTTCTAGGGTAAACTATATTTTTAATTAATCACTTCAGAAATCGAAGCTGTTAGTGACCTTTTAAAATGACTATACATATACAGCACACTGTTAGATGAATATTGATTTTTTTCCCCCTCCACTGCAAGCAAAGTTTAGAGAATTAGTTTTCATACTGAGAGATAATTATTAAGCTTCAATTTTGTTTCTTAAAACTTTATAATTAGGCCTTTTGATTGTGAGCTTTTTTTTTAGTTGTTAAGTCCAAGTAACCAAGCAACTATGTGCAGAAATTAACCTTTTTATTATATTATATACTGTAGTAGTAAAGTTTGTTTGAAGTGCATGAATAAAAAGTTAATGATATTACAGGAGGAACAATCTATTATAGCAATAGTAGGTGCATTCACTGTGCATCTGAGAGGAGGAGGGGGGAAAAAAGAAGAGTTTTCACTCATTTTGGCCTAAAATGTGTTCAGGTTTCCAGGATTCTGACATCAGAACCCAGATAACACTGGTCAGAACCATAGGGCTTTACAATAAAAGCTAAAATATTGACCATATGATGGCAAAAAGTCTTTATTTTGTGGTTAAGTTATTCTCTTCTAGCTACTCTCTGATGAAGTTGGTGGTGCTGTGGAGGATGATCTCCTTCTTCTTGACAAAGATCGTGATCGTTCAGCACTGTAGGCAACATGCTTATCATAATTTTGTATCTGAGCCTCGAGGAAATCCCTCTGTTGCTGGCTGATTGTCTGGCTAATCAGTCCAGGGAGAGCTTGAATGCTACCAATTAAAGTTTCCAGTTTAGTTTCCAGAGTAACAATTCTCTTCTCAAAATCTTCGCTTCTTTCATTTAAGTCAGAAATCATGTCATACATGATGTTTTGAGTCTGAAAATAGAAGGATGTAAACAAAGATTTAGAGAGACCTTACAAATATTGCAACAAGCAGCACAACTCTACCAGGGTTTGTAAATGCTTTTGAACTTCACAAAGGATATGAATATTATAACAATATCTAGTCTTGTAAAATAATTTTCCTTGTAGATTCAGAATAAGCTTTCTACTAAATTTGTTGAGCAGAAACATAATATATTTTGAGTAGCACTTCAGATGTCAAGGTCTAAATGAATTAGACAAAAGACCAGACCTTTTTTGGAAGTTCAGGTGCTTAGAAATGCACCATGCTAAGCTTTATGAACTGTCAGTTGTGTAAACCACCAGGAGACTGAGGCTCCGAAGCCATGATCCATCCTCGACTCTTCTGTATTTCCTCTGGTTTTAAACATCCTCATTCTTCTAAGCAGAACACAAATGTTGTTCATTTGCTTTCTCCTTAAACTGACCAGGTTTTCTTGAAACACGGTGGATTGTTTTTGAAAAGTAGTGCAAGGAGCAAAAACTCAATTGTATGTTTCTCTACTTCTGCGTTCCCCAATCTATCTGCCCTCTACAAAACAGTGTTTGGTTACAACAAGTATATGTGTACTTTAAAATGCCATAGTGGTCAGTAAAAATGTAATCTGAAATGTGTTATTTCATACAGACTTGGAACTGGTTAAAAATAATGACTGAATTTCTCCTTCTGATAGACTGAGACTTCAGATTAGACTTAAACTGAAGTCAAAACTGGATGTACTTCAGTAGACAAACTGGTTGAAGTTTGTAAAACATCCAAAGGGAATGAAAATTAATTGAATGACTGACTGCCTGAAGTGTAAAGCACTTCAATATCAGATGAATGTCAATAACCCATTTCTCTGCCCCCTATTTCAAGATGCTAGCATAACCCTTGAAAGCAAAGTAGTCTACATTAAATAGTATCTGAAAAGTCCTTATCAGTTGCCAGAAGCGTTAGATTGAAATGTATTTTCAGCAACTGAAGTTGTCAGGTGGTTCTCTGAAGCAAAAGGGGAATGAACACTGAAGAGTTTAATCTTTGCTTTGATGCACTTTAAACTGAGGAGGGTTTTGAGGTACATGAAGAGGTGTACAAGAAACCCTTAGGAAAAACCCATTAATGCCTCTAATATAGCCTCAAATTAAGATCAAAGTAACTGTTAAATACTGAGGTCTAATGTGAAACCTGGAATGCTATCAGCTCAGCTCTCACTCTCTAGTTATTATTTTATATTTTTATATTTTTATATTTTAATGAAAAATCCCAGCAACAATAGACAAGCAGTTTCCAACTGAACAGCCTCTTTTACCTCATCTCAAATGGCTTAAAAAAGATTAATAAAGCTTACGATATATCGGCAAAGTAGGCAGCTATTATTCATTACAAAAACTTAAAACAAATGCAGACCTAAATTTACTTGTCCAAAGTTACTGCTGCATAAGACAACAGGAATAGAAAACCAGAACCTCTGACTCCAGTCTGCGTGAGAGCCTGTGTACTATGGTCCCTCATGGCACAGTCACTATCACCGGACAGGAAATCTCTTTACTAGCCAGCACTACACTACTACGGCCCACTCACAGTTCAGCATTTACCATGACCACTGCAGTCACTTCAGGAGCTCTCAGGATCAGCCTCTCAATTGTGAAATCTTTTTCAAATGTACAAAAAAAAAAAAACAACGTGCATTCAAACTTTGCTCAGAGCCATAAACAAGATGTTTCATTCAGTAGGTGTTACCACAAAACACACACATATTTTCATTTCTACGAATAACAAACTTGTTAACAATATTTGCATGTATAATACATAACATTTTCACTTACAAACTCTTGCTTTTGAAAGGATGAATGTTAAAACAACAGTAGTTGCCTACTAACCTTTGCAAGGTCCACCAAAGTGTTGGCTTGATCATTCAGTTTCCTTTGTTCCATTTTTACGCTTCTTAATCTAAAAAGTGGAATTTGAAGTCAGATTTTTTTGTGTATGGTCATATTAGGATTCTAAAAAGCATGCACAAAACTTAGAAGAGCAAATAACTGCATGGACAATGTCTTGAGTACTTTGTGTAAAGTTGGAATTGGTCATGTGTCTGCTACAATGAGAAGCATGCTTCTTCAACACCGCAAAAAAGGAAAGAGCAAGGAAATGTGATGTCCTTGAGAATACCATTTGCCGTGGTCAAAGTTGAATTCAAAAAGGGAGATAACAATTTATCCAGACTATATGAAAGAAAGCCAAAACATTCCTCAAAGCCTCAGTATCGTGACAAGTAGATATAGGAAGAAACATAGAACAACTGTTTTTTGTCATTAATGTTGTAGCAATCAAGAATCTTCCCATGCCTACATGACTAGATACAGGTATTAGCCCTGTTCTGTCGGAAATGGATTGAGTTAGCAGGTGTTTGAACCTGATGGAAATACAGTGATAAGTGAGTTTCTCATTACTTTAAACAGAACTTCCATCTGACCAGCAGCTAAATAACCAACATACTTGCCAATACATTTGATTTTCTTACATGATTTGTGAATCTAACTATGATTACATTTTAAATTTACATTAGACATTCTTTTTCAATGCACTGTTTAAACTACAGCATTGAAAAACTATGAAAGAAGCAGCAAGGGTATATTTTTCTCTTTGATGCCTACCTATCTGCATTATTATTAGTTATGCACATTCTTTAAAAGATATATACATGACCTTTCTTATGTATTCCCTGAAACAAAGTCCATGTTTTTCAGATTAACTACTAGAGGAGTGGTTTGTAGGATGCGATTTTCAAAAATAAGCAATTTCTCTCTTAAGTACGAGTCATTTGTTCAACACTTCCCAACAGAGAAATACTTGGACGGTCAATGATTTTTCTGGTGGCTGTTCTAAGCAGGAAATAGCATTTTTTTAAAAAAAGTGTCAATTTATAAACAATGTGTGGTAAGATACCATGCAGTCTACTAATATGTCAAGGGTCAACCAAGCTAACCATTTGGTTAGCTGTCAAATGAAAATAAGTTTGGCAGCATTTTGTGGCAGGTGGGTTGCTAATGCATACTCTGCCTATTTCTCAGTGATGGTGTTACTTAAAAAGCTAGTTTAAAGAAAGCCTTCTTGGAGATCTTCCAAAATCAGGAAGTTTCTGTTCATATCTTTAGTTACCAAGCATTTCCCTTCATATCTAGGCTAACCGCTGTGAGAAACTAAGTTGTGAAGAGTGAAATATCTTTTAAAACACATGGAAATAACTCTGTTAAGGTAGAAATCAATTGTTCACATAAAATTGACTTCCAGTGGCTTGTTACTGGAATGTCATACACTCTTCTTCCCCTGGAGGCTTCCTTCAGAGCACAACATAAATGCATTCTGTAGGAATGGTGCTTTCAGAGGCTATGAGCTGAAGCTATTCTAAAACAAAAAATATGAAGGAGTCTCCAAAGTATGGAGTTATATCATTACAGTTTCAGAACAGAATAATTACTCAAAGGTAAGCATGTAATGATTTGACTGGAGAATGATAACCCTAGTATTTTGGTCAGCATCTCTCAAATAATTTGCAGAATATGTTTTCTGCTGTTCTTAAGATTCATTGACTCATCTATTTGCCAGTTAGTATTTTAATTCTAAAATTCTAAGAAATTCATTGTTATTGTAGCAATCCAAGTAGCAGCCGACACCAACATGGTAATTCCTCACGGTAACCAACCCAATACCTATCACGGGCTGTAAAAATGTATCTCTAGGTAATGGCAAGTCTTTAGCTGCAGCAGCCGGATTTAAAGAAAACTGTCAGACTTTCGTTCCTAAATTCATTAAGAGAAAATACGAAACATCTTGATTTTATGAACTTCACTTATCACAGCAAAAGATTATGATTCTGGATCGCGTTTCCATGGCAGCAATCAGACCACTGAAGTTCACAAATAAAGACTCTATTTTTTGCATGCAGACAGTGGTAAATTCTGCAAATTTAGAAAGGAACAGCTTATACAACTTACTTCCGAGCTCTATTTTCATTTTGTTGAAATAAAAAGACAAAACAAAAGAAAACAAACTGTAAAATACACTAAAACAACCAAACGAGCACAGTGGGCTCAATTCAGCAGGTGCAAGTCCTAGGGAGCTGCTACTTCTTTCAATCAGTAATTGCCTGAGGTGGAGCCTAACTCACTTGCATTCATGATGAAGGAACCTGCAATAGCTTCAAACCTTCCTATTAACTACATCTATAGATTTTCTTATTCATACAATACATAAAATGCCTTTTAATAGTATCATTTAGAGTGATGATTTCACCTTCATCTTATTTAGTGTGCATGAGAAGCAGAAAAGACCCAGACCAGCTAAAGGCAGTTTTAGAGCTCTGACTGTGAGTTTGAGAGTGTTATCATGATCTGCTCTGGTTTCTTCTATAAAACTGGCCCTGAAACTTCACTCTTTTATTTCTGTCTCCAGTGAAATGGTTGGAAAGGTGAAGGAGGGGGACCAATAAAAACCTAAGAATCCAGAAAGATGGAGAAGAGCCATATACTACCATGAGTCACTTGAGAAAAGTTCAAAGATGCAAAGGGCAAAAAAAAAATGTGCACCCATCTACTCTGCTACAGCTGGAAGACAGCAAACTGCTAGAGCAGTGTTTTCATCCATGGCACATGCTTCAGCATATTGAGAAAATGATCCTTTTTTTTTCCTTTTTTTTTGCTTAAATGTAAAAGTTTGGGAATGGGATGCAAAGCACTGAAGGACAGAGGGAAATGCATTATTAACATAGTTGTTCAAAGTTTGGCTGGCATAGCTAGGAAAAAATTACTGCTGCAACCTTCTTCACCCCACCTGATTAATGAATTTTTAAGGCAGGTGCAGAACACCACTCTACATCCTGTGAAGCTCTTCTGGGCTTGAATGATATATAAAGCTGCAGATTGAGCCTGCAGTGCTTTTTAGATTCTTCTCTGAACATGTGTGTGCACGTACACAGACACACACACACACACACAGACAAAATAAATAGCAAAGTTAAAGTGTTAAGGAATAACCTTTGCAATCAAGGATTCAAGTCCGGTAAAGGATGCACAGGACATGCCATCCTCTATCCTAGAACCCCTGCCACTCCTCTCTGCCTCCCAATCCTTTAAGCTAAGCAGGATGGCCAAATTGGGAAAATATACTTTTTATATCCACATAGAAATGCCTCAACTTTTGTTGTCTTTTTATTCCTTCAAGTATTTCTGCAACAGCACAGTAACATTTAATCCTGCAAGTTTGCTAAATATAATATAGTAATCAAGGTTTATAGAACACTTAATACCTTAAGCTTAGCTACCCTTTGCTTTAAAACATTGCTATGAAACAGAGAAACAATGACTGTTAGCCTAAATTTACTAATAGGAAATATGATAACCCGGCCTTTCCTTCCTGTCTTTCCCGCAAGATGACACATAGGTGTTCTTTTCATGATGGATGCTTCCCTCACATCTCCTCACACGTTGGCTCAGACACAGGCCCACACTCAAAAGTTATCAAAACATTAGTTTGAAATTAAACTTACTTAATTTATCTACATCTCCCCAGTATCTCATGGAAATTAATTTCATAGGCTGTACAAATGGCTGCCTCAGGCTGGATGGGGACATCGAATAAAGCAGACAAATAGTGGCATGGGACGTGACCATTCCTCAAGAAGAATTTGTGGTTCCCGGGGACAAAAGTCTCTTTTTTTCTCCCATGCAGTCCAAGGAAGAGTAACTGAATCATTGTGCAATTCTGCTGGTTTTGATGTGCTTTATGACAAGTATGTATTATGAATTTTAGATAAACTTATAGTCTGGCAATACCATAATTCAGCTTAATCTTACTACTGGTTACAGTTCTCAGGCTTGTTTTCAACCCCTTAATCTATCAGTGGAGGGGAAGAACTCATCCGAATCATGCCAGAGGTGCTCAAAGGTCACACGAAGACTGTTGGCATATACTGGAAACAGGCGTCAGGGGTCATGGCTGACATGATTTGATTTTATGCACTGAGAATATATGATGGAGACAGGCGACTAATTGCTGTTGGGCTGTACAATGACACTTGATGCATATTCTTTTCATTAAACACTATATACATACTCATAGGCTCGCTTCTATTACATCATTCTGATTTTAAATTATTAAAACATCTACTACAAACGAAACTTTTTTCATTTTCTCCTGTCTATTGTATCTTATTACCTGTAAGCAAATACATAATAACAAAGGATAGTCTCAGTGGCGAAAGACAAAAAAAGTCTTAGATAACTCAAGAAGCATGGGAAACTTCCAAAAAAATTATAAATGAGTTTGTTTTACCCCAGATTGGACATACACAGCCAGGATACTTTTTTTATTTTTTTGTAAACAGGTAATACAATAAAACCTTATCTTTGTCTTACTCTTAGAGAAAAATCAACCTCAAGAGCAATGTTCTATGAAGGGGGGAGGGGCAGGAGAGAAGGGAGGGGGCAAGACGGGACATGGGGACTTAGAGTGACTATGATGAAGAGGGAAACTAAGACAGAAAACACCTGGAGCAGAAAACTAAAACAAAATAGTACTTACTGATGAATAGCTTGCAAGAATTTGCGTTGATGTTTCCTTACTTTTGCATGGTCTATCTTTTTAACCAGCTTTGTGTTTTTATAAATTAACCATGTTTCCCTGAGTACATTAGCCGCTGCATTTTTCACCTGTTTAATAGAAGAAAAACACCAGGCTGACAAAAGTAGCATTATATTATATTTTCTCTTTTCTGGTATAAACTCTTTCTAAAGCACTTAAGACCCTGCCTAACTGTGGGAAGTGGGTACATCAAGAAACCGCAGCACCGAGGGCAGAAAGCAGTAACTGGACCAAGGCAACTGCTAAGCAATTTCCATGTTACTTATAAATGTGATATTGGGACCAGCTTTCTTTGCATCGGGGAATAATTTGTCCCTCTTGAAAGAGTTAGCACCATTTGGCGTTTATGGCAATATAAATTACAGTGAGGAAATACTAATGCATTATCTGTATAGTAATTAACTAAATGTATTTAATAGGATCATAAAATTTCTCTCTTTCTTGTTCTACAGTAATACCTTTTAAATCTCTTAGCAATTTAACAGTCTTTTGAATTTCCAGAGCGGTTTGAACATACTTTTTTTCATTTTTCTTTTACATTTTTATTCTTGTTTCTTTTTTACAATTCTCTGAGAATATGAAAAAATACATTGTCAATTAATGTGGCCAGTGTTCTATTTCATAAGTGCTTTGATTTTTTTTTAAAATGAGGCTTTCCATAAAATGTTAAAGGTAACAGCATCTACAATTCAGTCTTAGGCCCTCCAAAATTTTCAAGAATGCTTGAACACAACAAAGAATTTCAATGCAATGTTGATTAATGACTAGGTTACTTGCAAAGGAAAACTGTAAACCTTATTATTTATCTTTATTTTCTCTCCCTCCAACTTTGTATCATGCCAGTCACTGCAGCATCAGAGCTGAGTCAATGTCTAGGTAAAGGCATTGCGGGAATGCCATGCAGCAGCTCCTCCCAACAAGAGGTCCCCACCTTGTACCTGTAGAAGTAATGAAGAACCTTCATGGTTCTGACTTCAGTGGAAGCACAATCACATTTTAGAGACCTCCTCGCAATCTCTACCGAGTCCTTGCATTTCCACAAGGTATGGCTATCTTCAGGCTGTGAGGAAACCTCTCCAGTAACCGATTTGTGACCTGATGTACATCTCAGATTTGTTTGCTTGGTTTGCTTTTCATGTGCTTTGAGTTTCATGAGTTTGAAGCTACCAAAGCACCACCTAGATACAGTATTAGACCGATATTTAGATTTCTACGAAGGATAGCTGAATAAAATAAACTTTAAAAGGCACAAATGAACACCAGACTCACAATCTAGCCAATCTTTACAAAACCTTTTTCCCTCCTGAAAGACATTTTGAGCTCAGCTGTCAGATTACACTAGAAAAGTGCCTGTGTTAGGAAGGAACAAATTGTTGTCTATGGTCTAGTGTGAACAAGACCTTAACTGACTATAATAGGAGTGTAAATCCATAAGCTCAGATAGATACCTCAAGTCGGACACCCTCTACAGCTCTATGAAGAACTGCTTCCCACTCATCCTTAGTCTTTCCCCAGAGTGACTGCTTAGGCTTTCACCACAGTGACTGCTTACGCTGTTAGTGGTGACCAGCATAAAAACAAGGCACCCAGCACAACCAGAGCAGTGTACTGACATGTCCTGGAAACACAGCTTGTAGAGACATGATATGGCTCTCTGCAGCAGAGGCAAACCAACCTCCTTCCTGCCTGGAGCAGAGCCGTGGTTTCCAGCTCAGGCATCAAACATCCCTCTCCATCCATCAGCAAGGACAAGCTCTGCTGAATTCCTGTTGTGAGTGTAAGGACCTTCCTCTTCGTATTGGCTCTTCTCAATAACGAAGATTAAACAAGTTGAGAGGACTGTGTAGCTCCTACTCATTTTCTTGTTCCTTCAACACTGACCTGTTTTATTTCAATAAAGGATTTCTATTGCCTTGTTTGCTGCATTCTTTCATTTTCCAAGATGTTATTGTAATTTAAATTATATTTCATAAGGAAAATTTTAAAATATTTTTTATGAATTCTATGATTTCTAGAGTTTTTTTTAAAATAATCTTTTCTGAAAATATTATTACGTACAAACACCTTTCACAGCACTTCAGTACTGTGTGCCGCTAAGTGAACCCCGTGTTGAGTACACAAAGCAACTGAAAAGACTATCTCGCTCACAAACCATATGTCTTTTTTTTAAGAATGTCCTTCGTATTGTATACAAATTTTTGTATATATCAGTCATTTCACTTATTTTAGCTACAAAAGTTTTATATATTCTTCTCACATGCTGCATGAAAGTTTTTCAGCTTAATATAATAGTCTTTAGTTTCACAGCATTTAAATGTTGGTTATACCAGTTATCTTCCAGGTGCAAGGACCCTCTATAGAAGAATATTCAAATCCTCAAAATCTGATGAGAACTTGCAGTTGCCCTCAATTCAGAGAAAAGCTCAAGGCATTCGATTCCTCCTCCTTGCAAAATCACACCCGTGAAAAAGTTTAGTGGGAGAACAGAGCAGGAGACTATTTAAAACAAATGTAGAAATAAATTAACACACATTTCCTTTTCAGTTGTGAATATAAAGTGTGACTTACTCTTTTAGTTAGCTGGGTATCCATCATGAAATTATGCACATGTTTTTCAGCTTTGGTAAGTTCTAACTTCCTTGCCACCACAGCTACCACCAGTGCAGTGCACCCAGCACCCTGAAAACAATAAAACAAACCCCCAAGATGTTACTACTGCATTTTGCAGAGTTTTTGGTGGAAGTTTCTCCTTTGCTGTAGAAGTATGGCAGGCATCAGGTGATTCATCCCTGGTAAATACAGTGAACACGCTACAGCTATTTCAGTTCAGAGTAATACGAAAAGTCAGTAATTACAGGCTGGTAAACTGTCAAGGCATCAAAACAATTAGTGAGCAGCATCATTTAAAAGTTCTGCTTTTTTTCCTGCAGGGGTTGAAAATTTGAACACATCCCATTTCTAGTGCATAAACAAAGGGGGTGATCAAAACAACTTTTAAAGCCCAGAATATTAGTAAATAAATGCAGAATACCCTGTTCTTAAAAATTGTCTCAAGGTTTCAGCAAATGCTAAAGAGGAAATAAGATTAGATTAGTATTTAGCACACAAAACCAGAAAAGTTTCTTAGGATTTTCTGTAGGGCCTAAAAATAATAATCAATTTAATATTTGATCACTTTAGTATACTTCCCTGTTGTTCTCTGAGTCCTTCAATGACCTTATAGTATTTCTACTTATCTTATTACCATTTAAAATGGTACATGCACAAGACCATTTCTTCAAAACGTGGAGAAAATATCAATTTTCTAATTTGTGCTCTGTGTGTGTATGTATATGTATGTATATACATGGACATGCATGTTCACAACAGGCCAAAACTAGTAGGTGCCTGTCCCTTTGAAATGACAGTGCCTTTATCAGCATCACAAATTTAAATGTTTTTTTTGGGGGGAAAGAAAGGGAAAAAGGCTAAAATGAGCCAGGTAATGAGAAGCAGCGTCTATTATACACATCTAGAGGTATAATTTACTTCACACTATTAATAAATTCTGCTGTCAGTCTTTTTTTTTTTAAACAAATCTTTTCAGATTCTTTTCAAAAAAGTACAAAAATCACATTAAATATACAACGTCGTGTTTAACTTGCAGGTCCACCCCAATCTAGTTGTTATTGTACCTGTGTCAGTTACTCTCCAGTATAAAGCTATCTCTTGTTGCACATTGAAGCTTACCACATTTTCATTCACAGAGCTTTTTTCCATTCTTTCTGTATTTCTCCCACTAATTTATTCTCTCTCCATTCCCCACCTCTATAACTGCCTTACTCTCGCCAGAAAATCCAGAAGAAATCTCTGAACCCATCTTCCAAAATACAAATTCCATTAATAAACACATAGAGCCTGCAAAATAAACAAACTCATTGGACACCCTTACATAGTGTCCTCAAAAAAAAGGAATCTGCTCTCTCTGCTTACTTATTGAGGCACCCAAGGAATTTTGCAAAAGTCTCTCCAATCCCCTGGTAAATTGTTCCAAGAAATCCATCTGTTCCTCACAAACATCTACTTTTCTGCAATTAGTTCTCACCTATCAAAACTTCTATCCCCAACAGCTTTCAACATTCCCTTGAATGAGTCCTTTGTAATTTTGCTGCATTTCCTGCTTCTCTCCTGTCCTCGATACTAAGCTTTCTAGCTTTGCTGTTCCCTCTCCCTTTGTTCTCCAACCCTGTGTCGATAGAATTTCATGGAAATCTACTTGAAGTCTTGTTCTCTCCATGACATGAGTCAAAATGGGGCTATAAGTTCCTTTGCTTCTCCAGATTCCACTAAGAGTTAAAAAGGAAGAAGGCAGCCAGTGCAGCTTAAGGCTGAGCACTTCAGAAATACACCGAGCCTTCTGAGAAGAGGAATAAGCAGGAGATGCTCTACCACATGCCCCACCTCCCCAGAAAATAGACAGTTCTCCTTTGATCTTCCGCCTGTGAAGGAGGGCAGGAGAGAAGTGTTAATATGCAGAAGACTTCTCTATGGACAAATAAATAAATAAATAACCCCATAAAACAGCAAGAACATGAAAAGAAAAGCAGACATCTTTTCGCCCTGTATATCAGGATAACCGGGCCCAGATGTTGATTTAATGACATAACACGTTCTGCCTGCTTACAGCAAGAATGCTAAAATGGAATGAGATTATTAATACAGGCACCACTGGCAAACAAAACAGCTATTTATGCCAATTTACCAGGGGAGAGAAATATTAGATCCCCCTTCCCAGCTCCCCCCAAAAAAGGCTAGAGGAATGGTGATAGGCAAAAGGAATTTGGTGTGAGCTGAAATTATTCCAGCCTTTGCGATTAACTCTCACGCTTTTTCAGAGTGGCACTGCAGTTACAAGGGCCAAACACTGTTAAAAACAGTAGCTTTATATCTCACATGAAAGACACTGCCTGTAGCAGCAGAATATTGTCAGCGGCAAGCTACAACAATCAACGCTATGGTGTATAGGCACTGCTATCTTCCTTATCTCCACAATGGAGAGGTATTATAGAATCATAGAATCATTAAGG